TAAAATTATTTCGACATTTTGCAAAGTAGACAGAGAGACCGACAGACAGACGGGCAGACGGACGGACAGATAACCCACTCACCCACCTCTCTCCCCGCAGCTTCGTTTGGCTTTTACATTTTACGTTAAAAGCCTTTTCAATTGTTTGCCGCATCCAATGTTATTTGGATAAAGAGAAAAGTATCGCACGGCGGAATCCATTTGTTCCAATGACTCATGTTGGGTTCTACATATTATCCAGCAACACGACAAACAATAACAACAACAAATACTCAGCGAATTTCCTTTCAATGTTTTAAATCCAAATTCAATTTGATTAAAATGGGTTGGTTCCAAGGGGGAGAGGTGGACAGAAGAAAAAAGAATGAAAAAGAAATTTGAAAACACACAAAGTTTGCACAAAACGAAATGATAGTTTTCAAAAAGTTTGATTTGTTTACTATCCGAAGAGGATGGGATGACCAAAGATTTGGGAGCTTTGGAATACACAAGAAAACTTAAGAAGGTATTTTGGTCTACCATCTAAAAAAGGTCTTGGAAAATACCTGAAGATCTCATACCGTCATATATTTTACCTGCAATGACTTCTATCTGTCGAAGACCCCTGGAGAATCTTCTATCTAGAGAAGACCCAAGAAAATTTTGCCCTGAAAGGTCTACAATGCACACAAGGCCTAGAAGGCACTGTGATCTTGGAAGGTCTTCTATCTTTCAGGAGGATCTCCAGGAGACGCCCCGGAATTGTCAAAGCCCCTAAATGATGGGACTTCTTTCTACAGATGACCCCCTGAAAATATACTATCTACAGACCATCTATAAAAAGGAGACTCTTTCGGAGGATTTTCAATTTACAGAAGAACCTGGAATGTCATCTATCTAACGTAGACCCTGGAAGGTCCTTTATCTATAGATAAAGATAGAGAAAAAATTCTTTAATCCATAGAAGAACCCTGAAGATCTTCCCCGGATGTTCTGATGTTCTGCCAGGAGGTTCTTCCTTCCATGGAAAAAAATTGGTAGATCTTCAATTCACAGAAGACTCTAGAGGGTACAGCCTCCGAGTCCAGCTACTCTGCCGGTGAGTAGATGTCCTTCGGGTTCAGCTACTCAGCAGGTGAGTAGATGTCCTCCGGGTTCAGGTACTCTGCCGGTGAGTAGATGGCCCCTAAGTTCAGCTATTCAGCCGGTGAGTAGATAGCCCCTACGTCCAGCTACTCAGCCGGTGAGTAGATGGCCCCCAAGTCCAGCTACTCAGCCGGTGAGTAGATGGCCCCTAAGTCCAGCTACTCAGCCGGTGAGTAGATGGCCCCTAAGTCCAGCTACTCAGCCGGTGAGTAGATGGCCCCTAAGTCCAGCTACTCAGCCGGTGAGTAGATGGCCCCTAAGTCCAGCTACTCAGCCGGTGAGTAGATGGCCCCTAAGTCCAGCTACTCAACCGGTGAGTAGATGGCCCCTAAGTCCAGCTACTCAGCCGGTGAGTAGATGACCCCTAAGTCCAGCTACTCAGCCGGTGAGTAGATGACCCCTAAGTCCAGCTACTCAGCCGGTGAGTAGATGACCCCTAAGTCCAGCTACTCAGCCGGTGAGTAGATGACCCCTAAGTCTAGCTACTCAGCCGGTGAGTAGATGGCCTCTGAGTCCAGCTACTCTGCCGGAGAGTAGATGGCCTCTGAGTCCAGCTACTCTGCCGGAGAGTAGAAGGCCTCTGAGTCCAGCTACTCTGCCGGAGAGTAGAAGGCCTCTGAGTCCAGCTACTCTGCCGGAGAGTAGAAGGCCTCTGAGTCCAGCTACTCTGCCGGAGAGTAGATGGCCTCTGAGTCCAGCTACTCTGCCGGAGAGTAGGTGGCTTCTGAGTCCAGCTACTACTCCATCTAAGCCACAATATACGTTGTCAGAGGCCATCTATTGTACAGTAGACGCCCTCAGACGTAATATACTCTACTGAAAACGTCGTCGGAGGTCATCACTTTACAGTGGACGTCCTCAGAGGCCATCTACGCTACAGAAAACGTCCTCATAGGTCATCTACGCTGCAGTAGACGTCCTCTGAGGCCACCAACTTTACAGCGGACGTCCTCCGAAGCCTTCTACTCTAAAGTAGACGTCCTCCGAGGCCATCTACTTTACAGTACAGGTCCTCCGAGGCCATCTACCCTACAGTAGAGGTTCTCAGAGACCATCTACTCTACAGTAGATGTTCTCCGAGGCCATCTAATCTACAGTATACGTCCTCAGAGGCCATCTACACTATAGTAAACGTCCTCGGAGGCCATCTACTCTATAGTAGGCAGCCTCAGAGGCCATCTACACTATAGTAAACGTCCTCCGAGGCCATCTACTCTACTGTGGACGTCCTTAGAGACCATTTAGTATACGGCCTCTAGGTGGTCTCCGAAAGCACTAATGGTATTCCATCGCCCGACGTCCTCTTCAAGGTCCTTCATCTATAGAAGACCCCTAAATGGTATTTTATCTGGAAAAGATTTTTATCTTCAAATCTGGCCACCTTGAAAATGAAACTGTTGTTTTCCTATATGAAATCAAACATCAAACGGATACTTCCGTTTCCATTTCCTTTTCGCCAAATATTTGCGTTTGTATGAAAAGTGAAGCAACGTTTAGTGTTTGTAGCTACAACAAGACCAACTGCTATATAAAAGCAAATAAGCGAAGTACAGAAGAATAATTCGACAAAAAAAACAAACGACCGCAGACAGCAATAGGTAGAGCAGCAGCAGAATAAGAACAATACCATGCTGATGGATGATGGTTGATGGCTCATGGATGAGTGAAATGGATGCTGCTGCGGAACTTTGTTTTTGAACTTCCGTGTTGTTGAAATTGAATTGAATTTGCACAAAGCAAAGTGAGAGTAGCCGGGTTTTGAGAGAACAAGCCAGAACAGTGGAGTGCGGCAAACACACACAGTCATACAGCCAGCTATCATCAACGTGGTTCGTTGCAACCAAACTATATTAAACATGGCGAAAACAGCAACAACAACAACTACAGCAAAGGAACGTAAATATAATTTATTTACTCCCGCTATTGTTTGAAGCGATCAGTGATGTCTACATAATGGGATTTTTGATTTTGACAAAATGACAAAGGACGAAATGGAAAGACTGACACGACAATTTTTGGGTTAGTTTTAATATTTGGATAATGTGGGGGAAGAAGAGCTTTCGGGTCCATTTGGATTGAAATTAATAAATATTTTATATTAATTACATTCTTTGACATGCATAATAGTTAGATTTTGGTATAACAGTGATGCCAACTCAATGAAATTATTGAAAGATTTGGACTATATCGACCACTTCCTGTACTTGATATGAGATATGTGCACATTTTTGGAAAATGTGGAAATATATATAAATATAAGAGATATAGCGGACCAAAGTATTCCGTTTGCATATTTCATCTAGTACAGATAAAAATATTGGTATGTGCAAAAATTTGAAGCATGCAGAACATTTATATCCAATTTTATGCGAAATCATAAATTCCCATCAATTATATATTCATATCAGATATCTGGTTAGGAAAAACATTTAGATATAGCAAGTTGTTAAGAATCGCCGACTTGTTTCGCAAGTTATGACAGATAAGTATTGGAAATTGTGACCCTTTGTGGATGAGGTACCAGAAGGGGTTCGCGGATATATATCATCAACAGATCTTGTGTTATCAAAAATGTTTGTATGTGGGAAATTTGAGGAGATGTATCAAGTCTGAATGGAATCGGATGATAATTTAATGTTTTATGATCTTCAAGGATATTCAAAATGTTGACCCTTTATGGGAAATAAACTAGAAGGAGTGGACTGATATATCTCATCTTCACAGCATATCTTGTTTTAGTAGAAATACTGGGATGTGTATATATATATATATACATATATATATATATATATATATATATATATATAATCCGGTTATCTTGATATTTTATATATATATATATATATATATATATTAATATATCGAATTGTATAATCGTTTTGGTTATTCAAAATTTTTGCCCTTTGTGGGGTCTTGTGTTGATGGAAATATTGAGTTATATCAAATTTGAATGGAATAGTTTTATGAGCTTCATGTACATTCAAAATTTTGACCCTTTGTGGGAGAGGTACCAGAAGAAGTAGACCGATATATTCCATTTTCACACCAGACCTTGGGTTAATAGAAATATTGTCATGTGTGTAATTTGAAACTATCGGACACTTAAATTACATTTTAAAAGAGTTATAATTATTCAAAATTTTTACCCTTTGTAGGGGAGGTACTTGATGAAAAGAACAGATATTATCCATTTTCTCACCTGACCTTGCACTGATTGAAATATTACGATTTGTAAAGTTGGAGCAAAGCATTTTTTATGAAAATGTCGACCTTTTGGGTAGTACCAGAATGAGTGGACCAATGTTGTCCATCTCCGAACTCGATCTAAGTTTGATAATAATATTACGATGTAGCAAGTTTGGGCCAAATTGGATACTCCCTTCGAGAGATATCGTGCGCAACAGCCAGACAGACAGACGAACGGACGGAGAGACATCGCTAGATCGACTCCAAATGTCCTGAAACGGATATGGACCAAAGAGACCTAGGGTCTAAAACCGATATTTCGATGAGGCACGTTTTGGCTGTATGAAATTATGCATACCCCATCTACCCATATGGCTAAGGGAATAAAAATTTTATTTATTTCAATCAAAATATCATATAAATCGTCAAAAAGTCGTTGATATCCTTAAAAAGGTTTTTATTGCACGCTTTTTGAATACGACGCGCCATTGGCATCACTGCGGCAAGCACACACACGCGCGTAGACAAAAGGTACGAGAAAATATTTTGTAAATACAGAAGAAACCGGGGAAAACAAAACAACAAAAAGCAAATTAGAAAACATGTGGCGTAGACTAGGAAAAAAGGTTTCATCTTTATGTAGCTGGGTATGTACGTTCGATGCATATGGCTATGAGACTGGGACTTACCTCCTTTTGCAGACGGTTCGTTTATTGTTGTTACTGGCTTTTTTTGCCAAACTCAACGTTGTATGTCCTTAATGTACAGATTGATGGCACTGTTTGGACAACAGGAAATAAAGTTCTGTCAAAATTGTTGTGGTGTCTAATAACACCTATATTCTTTATAATATATATTTTTTCTGCACAAATTCTTTAAATTTTTTATTTGAAATTTAATTCAACACTTACTTTCACTCATTAACAAATTCTTTAAAAACTTTTTTTGATATTTTTTTACTTTTTTGCATCCTTTTTTGGCAGCATACAAAATTATCAAACCCTTTCCGACACTACTAAACTTGCTTGCAACCAAAAAGACCTGTTTCAAGCACCGTTTTCACGTAATTTATTTGCACTTAAAACAACTAACAATCGAATTGTTTCGCATTCAAATTAGAAAAATTACAAAAAAACTAATTACATATTACAACTTTTTCTTAGCCGAACGAATTTGGGATTTCTCCAATAAGCAAAAAACACAATTGAGAGGACATTAATGCATTCGCTCTCCTTTTTCTGTGTACTTTGCAAATGACAGCTGACTGCTTATTAATTGAGTGCGAATGTGAGCAACACTGGGGAAACTGTTAAAGGAATGCACTGAACATACCCCAAACATTTAACCCCTTCAAGAGAGCATTTAAAAGGATTTTTTTTATCGTTTTCTGTTAAAAAAATATGTTAGATATCTAGGCAGTTGTCTTAATTAATTTTAGAATTTTGTATGGTTACATTAAATTTGCAAAAAACACAGTATTAGTACCTAAAATTAGGAGATAATAATGGTTGCGTGTTTTTGCGGTAACATGCCATGAACAAAACCTGTCATAACTTGTAACAGCCCAAATACAGTTTTTGGCATTAATCCTTAAAAACAAAAAAAAAAAAAAACAAGTAAATCAATAGAATATTAACGGGCCATCGTTTTTGCTACAGTACTTTAGCTTGTTTTGGTGTGGAACCTTCAACTATGTGTGATCTTTGTAATGTTGAGGAAACCGCCGATCATATTATATTTAAATGTCGAAAGCATGAGTCCATTAGGAGCTCCATTAACGAGCTCATTAGAGCAAGATCTACGGAAGATTTCATCACCTATTATGGCTTTGAAAAACACAGATGTCGCATTTGGAATGGTTCGAAAAGTAAAGAACCGGCCTGGTCGAATCCCGCGTCGCAGTGGCCGAAAATGGCTCGTGAGCTCAACATATCGCAAAATTACACTCGCAAATATTAAAAAAATGAGCTCGGGGTAAAGTCATTGAAATTCCAACAAGTGCGAAAAATTACACCGCGCAACAAGAAGAAAATAGACTCAAAAGAGCTAAAGAGTTGCTCCGCTTGGCCGAAAGTGGTGTACTGCCGAATTTGGTTTTCTCCGATGAGAAAACATTTGTTGTCCAGCAGTTTGTAAGCAAAGAAAATGATCGTGATTACTTGCCAAACAGGTCAGCTGAAAATGTGCACCTTCGGTTGGCCACCAGAACTCAATCGCCGGTCATGTGTGCTCCGCCATAACAGCCGATAGTCACTCTCCGCTTGTATTAATCGACCGTGGCATCAGAATAAATGCGAAAATATTCTGGATGGTGTATTAAAGCCTTGGGAATACAAACACTTTGGCCACAGACCTTGGACATTCCAACAGGACTCAGCACCATCGCACTCAGGGGCACGCGCAACCCAAGAATGTCAACAAAATGAGGTTCCAAACCACCAAAATATTCGGATACCAATCCGTTATACTATTGTATCTGGAGTTTTTTTGGAAAGCAAGGTTGGCAATAAAAAAATACCAAAATGTCGATCACCTCAACCAAGCGCTTCGCTGGGAATGGACCAAAATACCTTAGAGCAACATTAGGACAGCGTGTGACGGTTTCATCGACCGTTTGAAGCCCACAACTCGTGCCAAAGGTGACCAATTCGATTCTGAAATTTTCTGATTTTTAGTTACTTCATTCCACCTTTATTTTAAATTATTCTAATGTAAGTTTAATAAAATTGAGCTCGAGGTCTTATTCTAAAATTTGATGCTATTTCCGACATTTTTTGCTTTCATTCAATAATATTTAAAACAATGTAAAAATGATGGCGTTTGACTTTGTTCCAGTTTTTTTATCTCACCCTGTATATATGGCCCAGAAACCCATATTAATGAAAATGATAGCCCTTCAAAAAAAAAAAAAAAAAAAAACATTTATTGGCGTAGAAACACAACAACGATAAGTTGGTCTCATTTTGGACAAGTATCGATGGAATGCCACCGTTCAAAAGCTCTCGGGTGCAATTGTGATCAATTCTTTGCAGAATCGTCAACATTCAGGAGAAAACAAAACCGTTTGTTGTTTGATTAAATTTAATTAAATATAGTCTGTAGTTTGAACTGTGCCATATTTTATTTTTGTTAATTAATAAATCCATTAAAAATGTAACGTTTTTAAATACTTATTATTTTACAAGTACATTCCTAAAAAGCATCAAATGACTATTTGGGTCAATGTCTCCATATGATCTCAAAAGAACTCATCGTCTTCTATTGGTTCAAATGTCGCCATATGGTCCCAAAAGAACTACTTAGACAATATAGTCATGGTCTACTGTTACTTTTCCTATGACAAGCCTATGTTAAATGTCCATAGGAAATTACATTGGTTTTGATGCAACACTTTTGCACTAGTACTGGTGACAATGTCACGAGTAAAATACTACAATTTTACTAAAGATGCTCGCTGCTTGGGTTTATTCAGAAACAAACACATTGACAAAATTGTGTACTCGAGACGGAATTTAGATCCAACCCATCTTATTTCTAACTCTGACTATGTACAAATAAAAAACAACTTGTTTTTTTTTTTAATTTTTTTATTTATTTTTTGTTTTTTTTTTTGTAGATTGTTTTTTTTTTTTTTCATTTTTTTATTATATGTATGTATAATGTATGTATGTATTAGTAAAATATTTTTTTTTTATTGTAAGGAATATTATGCAAATTGCATAATACACACAAAAAAGTTTTTCTCTTTGTTTTTTTTTTTTTTTAATAAATTTTCAAATGATTTTTTTGTTTGTTTTGTTGATTTTTTTTAATATAAATTAAAGGATAAAACGAACACCAACCTTATTACACGGAAATTATGGTATATAGGAAATTAAAGGAGTAGGAGAAAAAGGAAGAATGGAAGCAAAAAACAAAATAAGACAAACAAAAAAGATCTATAATCGAGGAAGGCGGGGAAGAAAAGTGTAAGTGATACAAGCAAAATCAAAAAATACTATATATACTTAGTTAAACATAAACATAAACACATAGAGTAGTTTTGTTTGTTTTTAAATCAAAGGCAAAATATTATTAATAATATAAATACATACTAAAACAAAAATGTAATATTTCTTATTTCTTTAAAAAATATATATATGTATATAGCATTTTTTATACTTTTTATTGTATTGTAGGCTTTTTGTTATCGGTTTTCGTCCAAAATTGGGGAACAGCACACAAAAACAACAGAAAAAAAGGAAGAGTAGGGACATGTCAAAAAAGATGTAGATGGTTGTTGTAGTAGTATTAGTAGTTTGTGTCTTCTTTCGGGCGTGTGTATGTTAAAGTTGCACAGAGGGACTGAGAAAGTGTTTCGGATTCTCACAACAAAGCTAATTCCCATTTATCAAATCCGGGATTTATGGCAAAATCTGTCGTAGTTAGTTTATCAAAGAATGTATATGCTTTATATTACATCAATATGGGATGGAAATGGTTCGCTTACTAAAAAAATATTTTTTAATGGAAAATTGTTGAACCTTTTTCTTTTCATTATTTTTTCTTTTTTTGAAAAGTGCCATTAAAATATTGGATATTGGCAACCAATGTTAACATTTATTTTAAAAAATTACTGCTCCAATTCGAAATTATTACTCAGTTGGTGCCATCTCTCACATACACACGCCTACATTAGTTTTGTAATAAAAAACGAGACATTGTTTGTATTTGATTTTTTTGTTTTCTTCTTTGTTGTTTTTTTTTTTTTATAAAAAAGCGATATAATTTCCATTTGTTTGTTTGTTTTTTTCTTTTGTTATATATAAAATAGGTTTTTTTGTTGTTGTTGATTTGTTTTTTTTTTTTTTAATTATAATTATTATGTATTATATTTATTTTTATATAAATTTTGAGGTGTTTTTGAATGAAGATGGGGATTTCTCTTAATATTTGTTTTTCGCTTGTTTGTTTGTGTTTTTTACAAAGGATTTCTGGTTTAAGAAAAAAGTTGTGTTTAAGTGATTTTCATTTTTTGGTTTTACGAGTTGTTGTTTTTGTATTATTTTGTTGTTTTGGTATTGTATTATTTTTTAAGAAAAAATATATATATGAATGCATTTAGTTTGTGGTAATTGTTAAGTTCATTTTTATACATTTTAAATTGGCGGTTTCTTTTTGTTTTGTTTGATAGAGTTTTCTTCTTTGTTTGTAATAAAATATCAGTTTTCTTTTTTTTTTTTTTGTATACGTTACTTGTTCATCTTCTTCATGTGTTTATTTTATAGGAGAAAATAGTGCCACACACATTTGAAAAAAAAATATTTTGAATATTTTCTTTTTTCGCGATAATAGTTACTTTGTGTGTTTGTGTGAGTCTGTCTGTTATTTATTTCCTTATTTAGTGAGACTTTTTTGCCTTTGTTTTTGTGGAACTACATTAGGTGTGTCTGGTTACCCTAAAATGTATAACAATTGTTACAATTTGTTTGTCTGTTAACCCGAAAGTTCTGCATAAGAGAGCGGTTAGAGAGATACATTTTGACAGTTCTTTCAGTGAGAGTTTGCAAATTCTTGCTAGACAAATGTCTTCTTGCAATCACTTGCAACTCTTCTTCTTCTTCTCATTCAACGACATTCACTCAGATGTTTTTACTGTTTGTTTATTTCCTTTTTGCGCTTTCAATTTGAATATTTTATTTGGAATCAGCAGTTTTTGGGGAACAACTTTACAAAATGTGAAAAAACATAAATATTAATATGCAAGAAGAAAATAAAAGACTATTTCCAACGTTTTTAGGCAAAAACCCTTAGCAACACGTTTAAAGGATTCCGGGGAACACATAAAATCTATTTTTTTATTGCTCATATTTTTATTTAATTGCTAATTTCCTTTTTATTTATAAAACTTGTTTATTTCTTTTTATTCTTTTAATGGGGACCAAATTGGTGATGTCTTGACAAATCAGCTGATTAGTTGCTAGCTTCTGCAGGAATACCGTCTGTTTACTTTTCGTCTTTTTCTTGCTAAAGAGAATAAAACTACCTTACTCCCTCAGAAAGAAGTTGCTGGACAATTCCTGCTGGAATAAATAACCAGACGCACCTATTATGTCCAAGTTTTGAAAAAAAAAAGTTTCGAAGTTCTTGTTGAGATGTTATTGAACAGCAATACGAAGCAAAGTTACAAGTCCAGAGAAATATTGGTGAAAAAGGAATAAATAGATCATGGATTTCAGTTGGGACTGGAAACTAATTCTGTTTGCTAAGACTATTTTTCAGGTTTAAATTATCTTATTATATATTTAAGGTATATAGAAAAATCCAATATTTCCATAAACCGAAATCCAAATTCGTAACAATCCATGTTTCCAAGGCCTCATAAATGCAAATTCCCACCATTTCAACTGGAAGTCGGATTTGATAACTTAAAACCCAGAGAGTTGTCTATTACTTCGTTAAAGGAAAAGACAACTTCACTTCGAAAAATTCAATAACTCAAAGAATATCCATTTCTTAATTGAAACAATTTGGGGATCGCATACCTAAGGTCCTTCATATGATTGGAATTCCCTTTTATATTCCAATAATTCAAAGTATACACACTTCTTAATTGAAATAATTTGGGGTTCTCACAACTAAGGATTTGGCACAATTTATGTTTTCCACTTGTCTCGGTACTCCCTCAAAAATTTTAATTTGGTTTAAATTTTCCCAAGGATAGGTAGGGTAGGTAACGAAAGAATGTTCGACCCCCTCTTCCTGATATGTGCGCAAAGGTTTTACTTTTATGCATAAATAATTAAAATCTGGACATATAACAAAAAATAATGATAAGAATAAATGCAAGAATGTCTACATCGCCAAAGGTATTGAATAAATCATGGAATTTCAGATGGGAAAGTTGGTTTTTCAGAAAGTACTCAAGGGAAAAAAGCCACTCCATGGATCTTTCTTTGTATAGAGGGGGCAGTATTAAAATTTTAATATTTTGTAATTGTCAACAGAATTACGTTCATAAATTCAAATTGATGGAATACAAACTATATCGATTCTTCTACAATGTGAATTATATACGTCAGTGTTCGAATTACTGTAGAAATTCAAGATCTGTATTAACTTAATTTGACTCAAGTCATTGATAGTGACCATTTTGTAAATATCCAGTCGAACATTTGTTTAGTGCTGAACGAATTATTCCAACTGTTCTCTTCATTAGATCAATACTGGAATTCTTATATTCTTTATAGAAAATCTATTCTGAATATAAAATAGCCTTTGACATAAGTCAATGGCATAGTTTTTGCATAGATTTCCTAATAACAAATTGTTCTCTAGGAAGTCAACTTGTCTATGTCACATAGTGAATTATATGGTGGTTTATGGAATTTTTTCTTCGGCTACACAAAGAATTTCATGTATTTCTCAGGATATATTCCAAGTTTTCCTTTTCATTCATTGGAGCTATTATAAATACAGAGGAAAACAGTAGTACGACAAGGAAAGAGATCGAAAATTCTCCCCATTGATTTGAGGTCTGGGAACAGATAAGACTGCTTCATATTCATTTTCTCTCACTTCATATTGTTTGCTGGCTTCAAAACTTAATTCTTTTTTGTTCCGCTTCATTTTGTAATTAAAAAAAAAAAACTGTATTCTAATTGTTATTGTAAAAAATATGATCATGCTTTTTCGATTAAACAAGAACCCCCAATATTAATTAATTTATCTTTCTTTCTTTATCAACTTAAATATAATTTAAAAAAAATCTTTAAAATATTTAATTTGTTTTGTTTGTGTGTGTGTGTTTTTTTAAATAAAAGCAAAAAAATTATTAATAAACCACATAAACTAGATATTATTATGTATATATATAAAATGTAAATTTCAAAAAATTACATATATAAATTATTTACGAAAACATTAACGTAAAAAAAAAGAAAAACAAAAAAATTAACACTTTTTTGTTTCTTCTTCTTCCTCTTTTCTTTAATAGTTGTTGTTCTTGCTGTGTTAAATCGGGTGTGAGTGTGATTTCCATTTCTTTTTTGACTGAAAAAAGTTTTGTTTTACTTCTCCTTTTTAGCGAATTGCGATTTTTCTTCTTCTTGCTGCTGTGAGTGAGATTGTGTTTTTGTTGGAGGAGGAGGAGGAGTGGAGGTGGAACGTATAAAAACCTTGTGATTTTTGTGTTTTTTGTTTTGCATTCAATCAAGTTTACTTTTTTCTTCAATAATTTCCATTCCAGGAGGATGTTTTTTTGTCTCTTTATTGTTTTTGAAGTAAAAATGTGCTGTTTTTGTTTCTTTTCTTGTAGGTGTTTGTGTGTATTTTTATTGTTTGTTGTTGTTGTAGAAGTAAAATTGTATGTTCTTGTTTGTTGTTGATTGTGTTTTTATTAAAAAAGTATGGTTGTTGTTGTTGCTGTAGTTGTTGTTGTTTTAAATGAAGTAGAACTCTTTTAGAGCAAATTACATTTGGTCCTCTTCCTCTTTTTGACTTGCAATGCAGCTTTAGTGGCGGTTTCAAACACTTCTCTAACACCCTCCTTGGACTTGGCCGAACATTCTAAATAAGCAAAGGCATTAATTTTTTCAGCCATAGCACGACCTTCTTGTGGCTTAACAGGTTCCTGCTTCATTTTTGCAAGATCCTATTTTAGAAAGAAAAAAATGAAAAATTATTTTAAGAAAATTAAAAAGGAATTGAATTTCCAAAGTACTTACCCGAATTGTATTGGGATCGTTTCTCAAATCTTTTTTGTTACCCACCAAAATAATGGGAACATTTGGACAAAAATGCTTGACCTGTAATAGAAAATTAAAGGGTTTAATGAGGAAACTTAAAGAAGAGGGGCTTAAAGATATATGATATTTCAAAGGTCTTCCGGAGATGGAAGGCCTAAAAATTTTCTTCTAGGGATGGAAAATCTTAAAAATGCCCTCTGTGAGATAGACAATTTTTTAATTGTATTTTGTAACTGGGAGATCCCTTTGATATTTCATAGAACTGAATGTCATGTTTGGAATGGCTTCTTTAAATTTTCTATAGATAGAACTTCTCAGAGTCTTCTATGTATGAAAGATCTTGCAAAGGTCTTGTTTGAATAGAAAACCTTCTTTAGTTTACCTATAGCTAGAAGATTCTCTTGAAGTCTTATACTCAAAAAGAGCCTTCAGAAGGTCTTGCATCTTATGCCTTCCATAAAATAAAAGGTCTTCTTAGGAATTTTAATGGGACAAAAGTTCTTCTAAATGTCTTCCGATGGGAAGGTTTTCTGAAGCCTTCTGAATTTCTTCTTGGGTTCATCTATAGCTAGAAAGCATTCTTAATGTCTTATATTCTGAAAAGTCCTTCTAAACGTCTTCTATGGACAAAGGGGTCTTCATTAGACCTTTTCTAGTACAAGTTCTTTTAAAGACTTTCGGTAGAAATTGGTTTTCTAAAAGGCGTTGGACAGGTCTTTCATAGGAAAGAAGGTTTCCCAAAGGCCTTCTATAAGGCAGATTAGCCTTTAAATTAATTCTATAGAATAGAGGCCTTGAGGCAATCTAGGACTATAATTTGAAGGCACTTTAATATTTATTTACAGATCAAAAGACCTTCTAGGTCTCCAGCAATATAGAGAACTTTCTTAATACCTTCTAGAGAACAGAAACCTTCTGTATGATAGGGTTTCTGTAAGATAGTTTTTCTATAGAATGGTTTCCAGTATGTTAGATTTCTTATCTTCTAAAGGTCTTCTATATAAAGAAACCTCTTAAAGGTCAATTCAACGATGTCTTTTTCTAAACCAAGAAAAAGGGCTATGTTTGAGAAATTTCTTATAGTGTACTATAGGATGATGGGGCTTCTAAAGGTGCTCTATACAATAAAAGTTCTTTTCAGATCAGGTCACCTGCAAAATGGAGAATCTTCTTTTAGAACAAAAACCTTCCCAAAGTCTTCTCTCACATAGGTGTTCTATAAAAAAAGGTTTTTAAAAAAATGCTTTTCTGTAAGTTAGAGTTCTCATCTTCTAAATGTTTTGTATAAAGAAACCTTTTAAAGGTCCATTCTAGGATGGATTCTTCAAAAGAACACAAAGCCCTTCTTAAGGTCTATAAGTTTCAACACCTTATAGTGTACTATAGGATGGAAATACTTTTAAAGGTGCTCTATAGAATAAAATTTCTTTTTAGAACAGGTCTCCTGCAAGATGGATAATCTTCTTAAGGTCTTCTATAGAACAAAAACTTTCCCAAAGTCTTCTCTAACATAGGTGTTCTACAAAAAAAGGTTTCCACAACCTTTAAAGGTATTGTAGGTACTGAGGACGCCTACTGTATAGGCTGTATATTTTAGAGTAGACGGACTTAGAGGGTGTCTACTGTGGATATTTTCATGCATATTTTCAAAGGGTCTTCCAATGCCTAGTTCTTGTTTGGCAATTCTTACCTCTGGGGTCCATTTTTCAGGAATATTCTCTAGCGAATCGGGTGAATCCACTGAGAAACACATTAATATAACATCTGTGTCGGGATAACTGAGTGGACGAAGTCTGTCATAATCTTCTTGACCAGCTGTATCCCATAAGGCCAATTCAACCTGAAATTTATAGAAAAATATATAAGTTAATAATATAGAAATATTTATAACAAATCGAAATTAATGGCGATTCAAAAGTGAACTCGAAAGTAAAACAAATGTTAGATTTTTATTTATTTTAAAAAATAACTTTTGGCTGGAATTTGTTTTTTTTTTCTTTTGAATTCATTTTCGTATCGTCCTAGAGAAACAGATCAAATACACCACAAAAAAGTTAACAAAAATTATATTTTCCAACAAATTTAATTGACTCAAATTGCCTTGTGTGTGTGGGTCAAACTTGTAAATCTCATGCCATGGACACATTTAGCTTGGACATTGATATCAATCTAGGGCTAGGAATAAAGGCTTTTGTTTTATTAATTGATTTCTTCATATACCTATTTATTTTGTTTGATAATGAAAACCAATGAACCAGCAGACCACTAAACGGAGATAAGGCAAGAAAGACAGACACACACCGAGAGAGAGAGAGAGAGAGAGAGAGAGAGAGAACTACAAAAAATTGTTACTTGGTATTACTGTATGTGACGTGTAAACAATAAACAAAACAAAAAAAATAAACAATATATGGAAATAATTAAAAAAAGTAAAACAGAACTACTAGAGCAATTTGTAGGGCGGCCAAGCTTCAATAATTTTTCCCCTCCGAGCGACCTCTACCACCCCACCGCTAATTTCTTTTCCACCATGTCTATGGTATATTTCTGGAATAATGGCCAATTAAAAGAGGAAATACCATAATTATTAATCATCGTCACTGTTGTTGTCGACAACAACGTCAGCCAGCAGTGGCAGCAGCACCCAACAATAAGCAGCAGCGACTGTCAATGCTGGTTTTATTCTTGGCGTGTGTGTGTCTGCTCCGATGTTGTGCTGTCTGCTAATAGCAAACAATGACGGCGAACAACAGCAACAGCAAAAACAAAAAAACAAGAAGATAGAGAATAGAATTCCATTGGGCTACGAGGGAGAGGGATTAGGGGAATATTTTGCCAAAACAAAAATGAAAAAAAAATAAACAGCAACTCAGAAACCCAACGAAAATGGCAGCAAGGGGGAGCGGCGATGGGAGCAAAGTATTGTAGCCCACTTTTTTAAATAATTTTAACAGTTTCTTAAAAAGGCAACTGAACTGGAAGCAAAATAAGACTATGTCCCCACTTTCTTTACTTCTTATCACAAGACCTACTCCAATTGTGGAAAAAAATATACCTAATTACAATCTTATCAAAATAAAAATATGAAAAAGAATAAAATGCAAAAAAAACATAATTTCATTTAGGGGGAATTTTTTAATTTCATCTATCCACACACACAAAAAGAGGTGAGGAAGCGATAAAACAGCAACACCAACAACAACGCCAGAAAACTTCGAAATTATTTCTTACTTGTAATTCTAAAAATAGCCATGAGGAACCAACAAAAAACCTTTGCCTTTGACAGACTTAAGCAGCCAATTGGTAGTTGTTGAAGTGAGACAAATGACAAATTAATAACTTTGCTGATTTCATGCAATATTTCAGTATTATATTCAGTATTTAAAAACACGCCACTTCTACATATCCATCCACGAGACGAATGTCGTCATAAATGTTGCCATAGGAAATGTTTGCGAAAACAACAAAACTCAGTGATAAGGCAAACATATGAACTGTTTCTATCTAGTAGTGTAGAGTAATATTTATCGCCACGGGGGAGGCGCGGGGGTGATAGAGTACTTCAACAAAGTGTCTAATTAAATCGAATTTAGAAAAAAGGCTAATTAGAAAAAATAAAGGCTCAGTGGCGGCAAAATATGTATATATTTTAAACCTTGTTCGTCTTCGACAAATCAGTCGATTTTGCCAAAAGGTTTATACCCTCAGCCAATGTTTGATTATTTATGTATTCCTTTTTTTTAAATTTTATTGAATGAAAGTAAAAAATGTCGGAAATAGCATTAAATTTTAGAATAACTTTGGATTTGTTCGAATTGGTCAGCTTTGGCACGAGTTGTGGCCTCTAAACAGCCAAATGAACCGTCACACTCTGCCCGAATCTTGCTCTGCGATATTTTGGCCCATTCCCGGCGAAGCGCTTGCTTTAGGTGATCGACACTTTGGTATTTTTTAGTGCCAACCTTGCTTTCCAAAATACTCCACACACAATAGTCCAACGGATTGTTATCCGGAGATTTTGGTGGCCATTGTGCGCTGAATATGAAGCCAGGAACCTCATTTTGTAACCATTCTTGGCCGCGTGTGCGAATGAGATGGTGCTGGGTCCTATTGGAATGAATGTTCAAGGTCTGCGGCCAAAATGTTTGCGTGCCCAAGGTTTTAATGCACCCTCCAGAATATTTTTGCGATAATATTCGGACAGAGAGCGGTCATCGGCTGTTATGGTAGCCCACACCATCACGATGGCCGACGCTTGAGTTCTGGTGGCCAACCGAAGGTGCTCATTTTCAGCTGACCTCTTTGGCATGTAAACACAAACAATTTGTTTGTTTACAAACTGCTGGACAACGAATGTTCTCTCATCGGCATTTTCGCACCTGACCTAGCGCTGATGCCAATATTAGGATTTGCAAAGGTTGGAGCAAATTCGGATTATACGTTCTCTTTTTGTGAAGTAAAATATTATTCTTGAAAATTTCGATCGAAAAATGTTGTGGAGGATGAAGCAGAAGGAGTGAACCGAAATTGCCAATCTCCGAACTCGATCTAAGTTTGATGAAGATATTACGATGTACGTAGTTTGGACCAAATCGGATACAAGTCAAACCATATACATATGTCCTCCATACATAGCGTGCGTGGATACCACAGAGATATAGCTTAAAAGTTGTGGATATATCGCCCTTTTCGATGTCTTCGATTCGCCCTGTCACTTTTGGTGTGCTCAATGGCATACCTGTAAAAATCACTGGCGCAATTCTTCGTATCAGTCCCAGTAATGAGTTAAGAGTGATGGAGCTTTTTTAGGCGTTGCCTACAATTTATCGTTTCCCACAATATTTTGGGTGATCTGCCTATTTTAAATTTCCAAAAATTAAAAAATAACAGAAAATACCTAATTTCGGAGGGAAGGAATGGACTCTGCCTGTGACCCTGACTTGGGATGATGCTACCCCACCAATATCAGTAATGGTGGGTAGTTGTCTGAAACGACGGTTGGGGAACTCTCTGAATTGCAGGACATTTAACATTCCTGTGGTTTATAAAGATGAGGTGTTTTGGGGATGAAAAATCCGGTAACTCCGATTTCATTTCCTGCCATTTTGTCATTTATCCAGTTGGTAAGATTATATTTTTTATGGCGACCTGTGATCCTACTTATCCTAATTTTCCCTTTAATTTCCCCTGTCAGTACTTTAATATAATATGATGCAATATGATGCAAACTGTGCAAGGGTCCCTCATGTAAGGATTAATGTCCCAAGATTGTTAGACCTTAAAAATAAAACTATAGACAAAAGCTATTACGCCCAAGATTTATTAAAGAAATTTGTCTATAGTTTTATTTAAGGTCTAACAATCTTGGAACAATAATCCTCACATGAGGGACTTTTCAACACTCAAATATTGCATACGCAATACTACTATAGCCAAATGAAGATATAGACAACGAAAAGTTAGCTTTGTCTTTTTTATCCTGGTGTCTCTCACAATTTTTTGCATACTCAACAATTTTCAAATGACAAATATCCTACAGTTTTTGTTATTTTTAACATATAAGAGTTGAGTGACTTCAATATTTCCACTCAAAACCCTGAAATGATATAAACGACATCTGCTGATCCGATTTTTTCGAAGATAAACGGTGAGACCATTTCGTTGTCTATATTTTCATTTGTCTATGATGCTACCTATCATATTGTATTAAAGAAAGATATCTTAGTCCTATTGTTAAAAACGACGAAAAAAAGTAAATTTCCACACCCCAATCATTGAATGAATGAAGGACAATTTTACAACACCTAGGGGCTGAAATCTTGTTCCAAGAAAATTTGGAAGGAAAATGATTTCTTCCCATTGTGTTATCTCTCAGAATACAAACATGATACATGCATTTCTTCCAATTCTATTTATTTATTTATAGCTATTCACTTGAACCGATAAGCAGCGATTTGATAGCGAATAAAATGTTATGACTAAGACAGCAAGAACCCTAACACATTGTGGACTTTAAGAGTGCAGTTGAGTACTCTTCCTGTACAGGTAATAAATTTCCGTGAAAAAATCCCGTATACATCGAAATTATTGAAATTCTGAATGGACTAATAAAATAGCATATATCAAAAAGCCAATATGATTACATCAAATACATCTCTAATAAAGGTGCAATAATGCTGCGCATCTATTGGTATGTACAATATTAGTCATTTTACAAAAATTATCAATATTATTTAAATAGGAGGCACTATTATACAAATATTGTTGTTCGATCTTAACCTCCACAACCTATCTACTTTATTCCGTATCAATTGTTTCCACCTCTAGACGATCATATAACGTTATAACATCACCCCGCTTTTATTAAACAATAACTATTGATTTTGCCAAACATAACCCCTCTGAAAATAACTGTGCTATGTGATCATCTCTTGCTTTACTAACTCCTCCCTCTACCCCTTTCTGATTGTTTGCCAATCCACCCATCTATGTTGTTATTCATGTGATGTAGTTACAAGGCGAGAGGTGGTTGGGGTGTTTGCAAGTTGTGAAGAGCAAGGTATACTTTCATTACTTCACATACTTCGTACATACATGCCTCCGTTGGAGATAACATGGATTTTTTTTTTTTGTGGAAATGATTATGACTCAAATGTAAATAATGATATAAAAAATATCAACATTATTATCATCATTCGAGAGGGGGGAGGGAGTAGGAGGTTGACATGGTGATAGTGAGCTAAGAAGTTTAGCAAAGCAAAAAATGTTTAGTATTAAGAGATAATGGAAAGTGTTTCGAGGTTGATCGTCATGGGAAAGGGATATAGTGTTGAAATATTT